GACTTTACCATCCAATTAGGACACATCTTATCACCTCGGGTATATCTGCCAATGGCTCACATAAAAGGTATTAAACAAAGGAATCCTGTCAGATTTGCAGTTTCTGAGTCTGCCTGAAAACCTCAGCTAGTCACAGGCTGCCAAAACTAGACAGACACAGCAAAACTAGACAAGAATTTACTATAGTGATAGGGTGCGTGACCAGACAGAGTGAAGTCTCTCATGCCTCACCACTAGTAGCAGGTCTTTGATGTCATGGAGACCAGACTCACTCACAAACTGCAGAACTGAGGAGGAAGAAAATGAGATTTCCAGGATGCAAAAACAAAAGGAGTATTTCTCTAGTGTAAACTTTTCACCAAAGCAGGAAAGACATATGGAAGGAGCCTATGAATGGAATGATGCCCGTGAAATGTCCCAAGGCTGGACTGTGATTTTATGGGAGGTTTCTGCTGTGGGACTTGCAGGTGAAAGGTGAGTTGGGGTCTCTCAGTATGAAGTCCCACAGGAGGGACATGATGCAGTGAAGATGCAGGCCAGACAATGAGGAAGCTATTCAGTCAGAGGAACACTATAGCTACAGAGAACTGCTCCTTGGTGATGGAGTTGAAATGGTGGACTGAAATGGAGCAGGCAGCGATCTGTCTGTACAATCATGTACTCAGGATATGTCTCTCCCTCCCGCTCTGCATAGTGTAATGTTAAAACCCCTCTGCTCTCAAGGAATAGAACATACGAATGCCTACTGAGTGAATGCGCACGTTGACTATTACTTGGAAATAGGAACTATTGTTTTAAGTTCTGTTTTGCTTAATTATTTATTATTTACTACTTTAATTATGCATGAAAACCATCAAGTACTTCTGAATTTTCTTTAGGCTATGCAGACTGTAAGGCATTCTAAGAAAGTTATACAGTGAGGTGTCTCTTCCTTCCATTAGTCATAAGAGAAACATAAATTACAATTCAATATATAATTCTCTGCTTCTTCACACAATGATTTAAAGTTGATTGAGTACAGTTACTTCATACTCAGCATATTTACTGCTGTATAAAACTTCCTTGCTCTCATAAAGAAAAGGCATGCGGGCACTTTTTTAAACAATGGTATTGTTAAAAATTTTTTGACGAGGCTTTTTTTGAAAACATGTTTTACCTTTCAGTTGTTTACAAATTACTTTAGCAGTGATTGGGGAAAGCACTTAATATTTGCTAATGTTCTTCTTTGAACAGGGACTTTGCTTAAGCGCTTTTCTGAGCAAAATCTTGTTCTGTTTATCTGTCCATTTATCTGAATTTAAAGTAGGAATGATTTTGATTTCTCAAAACATTTAGAAACAAAATTATGCAAGAGTATCATATAGCTCACTTCCCTCATCTCTCCATCTGCAACACCTATGCTTCCTAACACATGCCTACCCCATCCTTCTTTGCCACAATTGCTGGATAAGACACAGCACCTGCTGTGGTTATACAGGAACTATATATATTCTTTGTTTACTGACTAGCCAACTGACAGGTTGAGTGGTTGGTCAGCTGGCATCTCTAGTCCAGTAAGCAAGCCTTATGTAGCTGAACCTTGCTTTTCGACTTGGAGGCCCAACCAACAGCTTGGTGAATCTAAGTGGTCATTTTTCACGCTTGAGAGAACATAATATCGGTGAATTTTTTTTCTCCATTATCAATATCACGTTGGCTAAGAGGTTCACAGAACCTGGCAGACAATGTGACCCCAGAAACTTTGTCTCCTTACGAAGTCTGGAGAGGAAAACCTAAACCATAGATATTGAATTTATGAATACTTGTAAAAAATTAATAACTAAAAAAGTCACGTATGCTCCCAAGTTCATTTTATATGACTTACACTAATGTTAGTAATTTTTTCTTTAGTATTTGATCAGGTCTGGTAATGCTTTAGTCATCAAATTACAGGGAGGTTTGTGGGACGCAGTTTGCAAAGCCTTTTCAAAGTGATACTTTCCTTTATTCTGCTTCTTGACATTGTTAGGTCTGTGCAGTGTACTTAATCTTATTGATGCATGAGGAGGCAGTTAAGATTTTAATATTAGTTGTGGTAGGGCTCTGTGCATAAAGATGAGCCTTAATCACTTTGACTTAGTTCACTTGTGTCAGCAAATATTCTCCCTCTGATGCTTTCAGACTACTCAGTAACTGTGGTAGAATACAATTCTTCAGTTTCTATGGATGCCCACTCTACTCATTCGTCACATTCAGCAAATTCCAACAGCAGTATCTTCTCCAAAAAGAGAGAAAAAACCCCAAAGAACAAGCTAATAATTTTGCATGTTTAAAGAAGAATCTGTTCTTTTCACATAAACCATCAAAAAAAAAGGGCCACTAGAGGGAAGTAAATCCAATGTGCTCAAAGAAAATAAAGTGCTTTCTCCTCGGCTCTTGTAAATTATTGTAGTTAACAGAATGGTCTGGATTTACAACAGCTGAAGATACTGTTCTATGTACTTAACATGTGACAATTGAAGAAAGCAATTTATAAAGAGGGCTAGCACCTTATGCAATGTTTATGCCAAAACTATTAAAATAGCATGTATGAAAAGATATATAAAACATGTAGAAAAAGGTAGTAGGAACATGGGATAAATATGTGGCACATGTATAATTTAGTATAGGTCTAGATCTTTCATATTAGACATATCAAAAGAGAAAAATTGTTTTAAATCAGTATGTTTGGACTTCTGGTAACACAGTCTTTGTACACAAAATTTTTGATTTGTTGCCATGTGATGTGTACAATATTTGATCTTTGTTTTATATGAACATCTACACAAATCTGCAGCACCATGCAATAAGTACTGTCCAGTTCAGTATAATTAAGATTATAAGGAAAGATTGTAACAGTGAGTTTACTGTTTGGTGGTATAGATAGAAAAAGAGATTCAATATAAAGGCAATTATTTAATATTTTTGGTAAATATGAAAAAACTAGAAATTGTTTACCGATAGCTGGCTAACAATAAGAATAAAGAGGTCACTAATCCTTTTATCTGAGTACTTCAACATGATTTATAAACATTAATAAAATCTCTGCAATATTCTGAAGGCCAGTTATAAAGCTTCCTATTCTGAGGTTAGATACCCTAGCTTTCTCTGTGTCACTTCTTATTCATGACTAAAAGGAACTCACAATAATTGTTTATTGTCCTCTCAATAACTTCCATCAACAAAAAATCCATTAATTTTCTTTGATATTTCATATGACATTACCTTTCTCTCTTTTACTTCTAAATATATAGTTACCATGCGTATGGTTTTATACAACTACACAGTTTGTAAGCCCACAAAAATGGTTTTATCTTTATACCTACATTTTATAGATGCCTCCATTTTTATTACAATGCTTTATCCTGCAAACCTGTCTTTTTATATCCAAATAAATGGACAGATATTCTGGAAATCTGATCTTAAATTCTCTGAAGCCCTTCCAACATCATTTTTAGTAATGCAAGAATTATTACAGGGAATGCAAGCAGCCTGCTCTCAAGAGTTTACTGTCAGTGTATCACAAATTATCAAAACATTGGTCTTTTCCCTGTTTTGAATAAACTGCAAACTGAAAATCTACATCCTTAAAACAGGAACAGACAACAGCAAAAATCAGATTTTTTTGAAAGGCCCACCACTTAAATACACACCACGACCTGTGTTCAAACAGCTGTTAGCCAGTTTAAAAACAAACTATATCTGTGGTGACCTCCACCTGTGCATGCTTGATGACTTGCACTTAGTACCATGTAACAAAAGATCTAAAAATAAGTGTACATAGGGGTAGTTTCTGGCACCATGTTTCTTTCCTTTAATGAGAAAGGAACAGAGAGATACAGGTTCACAACACGATACATAGCCTAAGACTTAGAGCCAATTCTCAGTGTAAGGCATATATCATTAGGCATCTTATATAATTAGCTCCTCTGTTAGCATCATCACGTGAATGGTGAGTACTTTCCACGCTATTTATAATCCATTTTCATGAATATTATTAGTATTGCCATCATTGTCATTATCATCATCACAGCAAGCTGTTAATTTTTGTATGCCCAAAGGCAAACAAGTCATTACTTCCTCATCAGCAAAACTAGTTGTTCCAGATACACAGGTAGGTGGATTTTTGCTGGGCTGATCAGTGAAAGAACCCAGAGCCTTCCTACAAGTTGACTGTAAAAGGGTCCTCCTGTTATTAGCACTTTTACTAAATACTTTCATATTATCAAAGGTCTTCTACTCAAAACCATCGCTTTGCCAGTTCGGTTCCTGTTCTACATTAAACACTTCAGCTACAGTTGCAATGTCACTGCACAGTAGGTGAAAAACATTTCTGGAACAAATGTCAGCAAGGGATAATTTTGAAATAACCTTCTAATCTGCAGTAACACAAGCCAGAAGATAACATTGCTATAAAGGTTGTTTTGTTGGTAATCTATGATATTGTTTCCTGACATAGTTAGTATTTCTAGAGATGAAAGAGGAAGAAGTTGCAGAAATAAACAAAAATACAGAGCTCTTTTAGTCTCCCATGTTTCTCATAAAGGTTAGCCCTGAACATGAATTTGTACTGAAATCAGGGAAGAAGTTGTTCAAAAACAATAACACAAAGTAGACAACTGAAGGAACAAAAAAAATCTATTAAGATACCTCACCTAAGGAAATGGTTCATAAGATGTTGAAATGTCTTACAGGGATGAACCACTGATACAGGTAGACTCAGGTAGTTGAAGCTTGCACTTAATTTTAAACAGGAAGATGTTTCTGTGCCCTGTTTACTGGGGTCAAGGGCCAACCACCAGAAGTATTTAATGCCCTCATCAGCAGAAGCTGGAAATCCTCACCAAAAGCACTTAAAAACATGTACCAATCTGCAAAACATCCTAACTTGCTGACCCAGACTTCCAAGAAACAAAACGATCCCCCTAACAAGTGCATAGGTGTCAGGGGCACAGTAAAAGATACTCAGTGCTGGGACTTACCATCTTGGTCTGTGGTAACGGTGATAGCTGTGAACTGCTTTGGAGAGAAACTCAGCTCCGAGACCCCATTGGTGGCTTCTATTTCAAAGGTGTAGTTCACGTGCGACACAAAGTCAAGCACTGTCACAGAGGAGTTGATGAGACCTGTGTGCCTGGGGATGAAACGGATTCCTCCCCCACAAATCTCACACTGGCTGGTGTCTGACCCACATTTCTTACAGATCACACTGTACGTGAGATCTTTTCTTCCTCCGGTATCACTTGGGGGGCTCCATTCCAGCATAAGAGCTGTTTCGTTAATGTTAAAAATCACATTTCTTGGAGCAGAAGGTGGCCCTGCAAATAAGAAGGGAGAAGCCTGTTAAGTGACAGTTGTCCATTTTGGAGGAAAAAAAAAACAAACCATGGAAAAATATATTAGTCTTAAGGCAATTATTTGCAAATGGAAGCTAACAGAGATACGTTTCAATAATGAATTCAATGGAAAAATTATCTAAATACTACAATCCTGGAAAATTAAGCAGGAATAATAAATAGGTGAGACCATAAAAAGTTGAATAATCTAAATAAATTAGAATTAATTCAGAAATAATTTAAGGCAACATAAAAATGACTTAGGCATGTTGAATCTAGACTTGATAACACAAATTTGCACTAAATATCTCTTGATTTTGTGGGATACCGGGATAGAGCTTTAACAACAAAATGTATTTCCTTATTTTATATCTAGTAATGTAGGCTTTTCTGACACTTATAATCTTTGATGTTTTATAACACCTAAATTGAATAATAAATAAGTAACAGCTTTGGAGTAACTACAAGAGGTAAAATTGTTTGTATTAGTTCTGCAGTGCCAGATATTTTTTTATCCTTCACTGCTTATCCCCAGGGATTTCTTTGCTGCTGTTCATTAACAGAGTTAGGTGGCAACAGGCCAAGACTATTAGGCACGAAAAGACAGTTTACAAGTTTCTTCTTTCCCACCTGGCACCTCATCAGCGTCAGTATAACAGTGAAGACATCAACCTTGCAAGCTAAAGATCTAAAAGGACGGCCGCAAAGCAGGAGAAAAAACTATTCTTGAAGACTGCGGGGAGGGATGCAAAGATAGTAGCAAGAGGTAGAGCAGCAAAGCTCTCAGCCAGCAAGCAGGTGGTAAAGCTCTCTGTGTGTTGTCAGACGAACCATGAGTGACCAATTTCCCGTGGATCCCACAATAGTCAAGGTATGTCCAACAAGTTTGAAGTTGTTATGCTGACTTACTGTGTAGGATCACATGTAAATCATCTGAGGCTTTATAGATCAGCTTCCAGAATCTGATGGAAGAACTTTACCACCGAATGATTTTTCAGATAGGTTTTTTGTGAAGGAAAGGCAGAAATTGTTAAAGGAAGTCTGAATAACCTTATCTCCATCTCTTATTATATCCTTCCTCTTTCACCTAACATATTTCAACCAAGCACTTACAGAGACATGGTTTTCAAAAGCAATTTGTATATAGACCTAAAATATGCCCATAAAAATTAAATAAGAAAAACAGATTTGGCAAAATGCAAGGCATTATACTCCAGGTTTTGATATATGTAAGATGACTGTGGTAAACTCAACTGACGATCTCTAGGTTTTTTCAGCTGAGTAAGTTGAATAAGCTTTATATTCCCAACTCTCAACATAAAATCACAGTGCACATGGATTGCTTAGCCAATGGTTAGCAGAATTTTTAAAACTTTCAGCTTGCTTTGCAGCTTTTCATGATTTATGCAACGCACCAGCAAGACTTAAGTATAAAGTTCTGATTGAGATACTGTTCTAACTTTGAGTGAGCTTTTCAGTACTTCAGGGACTCTCAAGCAGACTGGAAGATTGTATGAAGCATTTGCAAATGACATCAGCTAATTCTTACACAGAGTGTATTTCACCCTACAAATTGAGTGAAAGAGTAAATCTGAGAGTTGGATAATTAAAATATTATAATGCCCTTTTAAAAAAATTATCACAATGAGAGAAGAAGTAAACAAGCAAACAAAAATATTAATCAACACTCTTGTAAATTCCAGTTTGACAACTTCTGGAGTGAAGGCAAGACCTTGTGCCCAAAGTATAGTCAAATAAATGTCCAGAACTTTGCATTAGGGAGGAAAATGAAGTATCAAAACTCCTCCTAACATTTCATATACAAATCAGGATCTCAAATCTTAGCCAAAAAAAAAAAAAAATTAAAAATATCTGTGTGAGTATTTACTTGTGTATCTATCTGTGCAGAGTTCATACCTAGCAGGCCAAAAGCCCCTGACAGTCAAGACCAGTTATTTTTCAGCATATCAAGGAATCATTTAGCTCTATGGTATGTGGCTCATTCGTACTGAAAAGCAGTATTTCTGGAACCCATCAGATGAAAATTATTTTTGCAATTTGCAATCTTTATGGTCACAGGGAATATTTTGAGTATTTCCTTCCTTTGACTATGTCTTTGACTATGACCTTGTGATAAGTCTAATACTGAAACATTTTAAATACTGTAATATGTAAGTATTTATAAATGCAACTTGTTAACAAAAGCGAATTATATTGATACAGCATTTTGCAATGGTGTGGAAAACAGAGACAAGGTATAGCTTTGAAGATGCTGATGTGGTCCAAAAGCCCCTGCAACCTTAGAGTGTCTCAGATTTACAAATCTCTAAACTTTCCATTAAAATTACTGTCAGGTCAATGGTTCTAGCTACTCTGGAAAACAGTTCTGAGATTCGAATCAGCTAAAACTAGCACATATTACTTCAGCTTCAGTTCTTACTATTTATGTGCAGAAGACAGGAATAATTACGGGTCCTCTAAAAACATGCTGTGAGAATTAAATAATGACTGGTCTTAATAAATTCCCACTATTAAAACCAATGAGGAGTTTTAGGAATATGGAGGATGAGCCTTAATCACACTTACATATGTGCATAACTTTAAGCAGATCAGCAATCCCCTTGACATAATTGGTAATACTCATGCACTTAAAACTAAGCATGTGTGTAATTGCTTGAAGGATTTGAGCCAGTGTTTTAAAACTGGGTTAAATTTCATATTACAGAAAGTATAGATATTATGACAATGGGTCACCACAGTTCAGGTTTTTTTAGTGTTATTTCATCAATTTTGTCAGGCCAAAATGGGAATTATTGTGAATCCAGACAATAGGAGAGTTTTGTCTGGCCCTGTATATTTTAATTTCCTATCAGATTTTTGTTATATTCTATGTAGATGGCATTAGTAGAAGAACCAATACAGTAGATATATTTTTTTAAACAGTGTATTTTATTTTTTATTCGTACTAGACAGTGAAGGCTGTTATATTCATGATTTGGGACTTAATCCTCAATTGTAAGAGAAAACATGAATTATTGTACATTCACATTTCAATGAATAGGGACAACATTATCAATTATGTTTGGGATGTCTGAAAGTATATTACTGTCCGCCTGCAAATACTAAAAAAAAGACTCAGACACCCTTCATACTCAAGGCCCCTCATGCCAATTTGCATGACGATTAAATAGCTTTTTAATTGCTGTTAAATTATGCCAGTTAAACTGTGATTTCATGCAAATATTAAGCTGTAATGACATGCAGTGAATCATTTACTAAGATTTAGAACTTGGAACAAAGAGAAACAATTAATTCTAATCCTCAAATTCAGCTAAATTATGTGTCACTGGGCTTTTATGAATGTGGCCTGATTGCTTTGTTATCATTTATAAATTATACAAAGATTATTTGACACATTGCAAAAACTTGGCAGCAATAACCCTTCTGCAGACATCTGCGTGCAAAGCTCTCAGGGATTTCTTTATATTCATTTTTAAGGAAAACAAGTATATTGGTGAAAATTACGGATCATTTCCTCACAGCAAAATTCATGACTTTGGATTTTATGCAAAAGAGTAAAACACACTTCAGATGGATGAGCATTAAAAAAAATGTAGCTCTTCTGCTTCTTAGATAAAACATAGCCCCAGCGTAAGCAATGTCTTTTGCTTCATTTGCAAATTATAAGAATTATTTCTACACTCTGTGGAGTAGATGCATTGATACCTTACGGAAAATCAGGTCAACTCCAACAGAAACAGAACTGAGTTCCTCATCTTGCACCTCATCTTGCTTTGTGTATCCTCTCCCTCTGTCAAAGTGAAGTGCATTTTGCCCTTCATGGAAGAAAAGAGGAGCAAATCTAAAGCTGCAGAAGTCTAGTGAGGGCACTGCAGTATTTTAAACACTACAGAGTGATGACTGTCTGGAAAACACATCATTGGTTTTTAAGTGAGAACTTTCCTTTACTAACTACTGGACTCTTCAAAATGTGTGTTATTCGGCTAATGAATTTACAGTGGAAGGGCAAAAATTAATGATCATTGGAGAGTACTCAAAATCAGCATCTGGCTGTGCCTCTTGAGTTCATAACTGCTTTTTTATACACATACATACATGTAGCATAGATAAGTAGTGTCATTTGGTGTAGAATTACATTTTTTTCTTTTCAGACTAACTTACTCTTTTTCTGTGAGGCAGGCAGGAAGAATGGAAGCCAGTGACTACAAACCAATAGCCCAAGTCTGAGCATTATGATAAATTACAAAAAAGTATATATATATCAAACCAACAATAGAGGCAGTAGAGTCAAAGACTTCAAGCACATTGCTTGATTTTGCTGCTGGAGCAGTGTTGACTCTAAAAAAAGAGAGGATACAGTTTGTGGCAGAGGTTATTGAACAGAGTATAAGTTTGTTGGGTTCAAAATTGTTTAAGCATAACATGGAAAGAGATGCATTCAGGCTCAGTCACCCAATATAAGCCTGCCTGACTTTGACCTTGAAAAGATGGATCAATTTATCCAATTACACTATGGTGGGAAATGTTAGAGTTTATGCACAGAGCAATCAGACAGGGGATTAGATATGATGCTATTTGTTGCTCACTGCGTATACAGAGAGATCACTGATAGAGTACTCACACATGGCAAAGAAATACAATAAGGAGAAAGAGTAACAGCAAGAGATTTATAACAAGCGCCAATCAAAGGGAAAAAGGCTAGGAGAAAGAGATAAACAATATATCCTAATGTAATTTTCTTTCCTCTTATAAAAATTAGAATTTTATTATCATTTTCTGCAAAGTGCCGACTCTTCTTTTACAAAATACAGCTACATGAAGGAAAAATAGGAACTTTACAATTTTGGAAATGTGTGCACTTTAATAGAATTAATCAAATTAGATTTGAAGCTCATCCTGAAAAAAGTGGATGCCTGAAGCTAAACCCTTAAATTCACAGTCTCTTAAATCAAGGTCGTTATTTTCCATAATGCTGCATATGCAAGTTTTCCATTACTGAGGAAAAGTTCTGGAGTGAGGCTATACAGGAATGACAAGAGAGAGAGAATAAAATATCTACCTATCCTAGGTATATTGCTTTGTAGGACTTGGGGAAGCACACAAAGTAGATATGAATATAGTTGGTTCTAAATGTTTTAATAGGAAGAAATTTGTAAAAGGAATCTACTATTAAATCTGTGTTTGATTAAAGAACAACTCTCATCCAAAAATCACAAGAAAACATTCTAATCTCTTATGTTACATCTTATGTTAGGACACAAATTTGCAAATGAATATAAAAAATGCAGATCTACTCCAAAAGTGGTTATGCAGCAAAGGCCTTTGCTTACTGCACAGTCTTTTCTATTTAGTCAAACTGGCTCTTTTTTTTTTTCCCCCCTAACTTTTCTACTCCTTTTATTACAGTAAAGCATGACAGTTTAGAAGGAATAATCTAAATTCTAGTCTGTCTCATATCTGTATCTTTGTTTATTAAATTTAAATTAGCCACATCTGCACAGACCCACCAAAGGCAGTGAGGTTGTATTTATGACAGAAACATAATTTTAATAACTGAGAGTGTAATTTGAAAGCACTGGGGCTAAAGATATCACTTAGGGAATAATTTGGCCTGCAGACTCTTCATTACTGATGACATGCAAGAAGATTGGAATGCAGTCTGCCTGTCAAGAGTCTCGGTGTCATTTGCAGAGCTGACAATTAGAGAAATAATCATCATAGTAGGTATAAGATGAATATATCAGCTGTTACAGTCAATGAAGTACTGATACCTTGCAGTCTAGGCCGAATGAGAGGCAATGCATGGTGGCACTGAACCAAGAGCAAGGCAGAAACTAGAATATGGGTCACTGCCTCCTTCGTTATTTCTTATTTCTCCTAAGTTGGGGTGAGACGGGGCACAGTTACCTCTGTTGTGGCTGATTTCTTCCCTGTCTCCACTCAGTTATTTTGGCTGACATACTTAGCAGGTCTGGCAGCAAGTCTTCCCTAATAGTTTTCAGACAAAGCAGCTCTCAGCACCCTGCTTTTTTTGGGAAAGCACTGGGGTGTTGTAGGTACCTGCTCCCTGATGCCACACAGCTCTCATGCTCCTCCCTATGTTATCAATACTAATGAGTAGAAGGGCTTAAAATTGTGCCCTGAAAGATAATTATGGAAACATAATGCCATGTATGAGTATTTTTTTCAGAGAAGGACTATCTTTTGGAGATGAAAAATCAATTACATAAATAATATGGAACCACATCTGCATAATGCACGAATGAAACCATCTTTCTACGCATGAAACTGTCAAGAGCGCCTGGGATGTGGGTTAGTTCTGTGGGTAAGTTTTTAATGGCCTGTGCTTGGGGCACTCATTTGAGTTGAATTATTTGTAATCACCATTTTCCTGTGGGAAGTCTGGAACAACATTGTTTATTCCCTCACATATTGTGTGCAAAAAGATAGGCTTATGTGCCTTGCTCCAGAGGGAGCTGACAGCAGATAGTGTGTACGTTGGACTAGGGTGCCTCTCTGGACCCTAGGAATGCCATGTGTAGTGACAATCACTCCCATTTAGTGGATGGACAATGTCTTGGTCTACGTAATGACCTCAGGATTACAGAGTACCAATGACTTTGTAAATCAGCTCCAAGCTCCAGTATACTGCCATTAGAGAGACTAACACGAGCATAGGCAGTAGTTTAATTCTGTTAGGGTCAGCTCAGTTATTTTTACATGGTGCTGACTTATGCAGTGTAAAGATTCCAAAATTATGACAATACACTGATGGTTATTGCAGTAGTCATTTGTTTTCATGGTTTTATCTCTTAAGCTTCTTGTATACTTCATCTGTTAAAATACTTCATGTATTTAATGTTATTTTTTTTTCAAATTCTCTTAACAAGAGGACTGTGACAAAAACCATACTTGAATCAAATCCTCCACCAAAAGAGCTAACAAAATGCTACACAGAAACTACGTATATGAGAAAATTTGCAAACAGATTTTTAACGTCTTTATTAAATAATAGGATTTTATATGTAAATATAGTATTTCACCCACAGATTTTTAACTGCTGCTGCTTGTTCCCAGTTTTGAGATTAAATGGATATAGTTGCTTTATGACCAATAAATGAATCACAGTAAGTAATGAACCATGCATGAAAATCTATGAGAAATATTTTATTAAGTGAAAAGAAAATTTATGCTTTATGTTTCTAGGCATGAGCACATTGATCAAAATAGTAAAAATCTTTTCTCGGTCAGAATTTCTGCCCCTAGTCTTCTGGGCGTCAGTTTTGTCTTAATGACAAATTTTGGTCAGTCAAAAATCACAAAATGTTGTATTTGAAAAATTACCAAAAAATCTAAAGAATTTTCATTATCACAGTTGTATGAGAGGGAATAACTCTCTGCTGAAAGATGATGACATGGAAGAGAGTTTAATTATATCTCCTTCTGATTGCATATATCTTTTTTCCTTCCTTTTTATGATTTTCTTGTCTTTTTTAGAGAGTTATTTTTTATTAAGTTGTCTTGGGACGATATTTGTCTTAAATTGTCATTTAAATTTGGGGAGATAGCAGAGTATTCATATCAGTTTTTGTCTTTACATGACTCCTCAGTTTTTTGAAAGTTTTTGTACAAGCATATTTTCCTGTATTTAAAATACATACTGGTAGTTTAAAACTCAACATTGTTATCTATATGATGATGATTACACACTTTGTATTATCTCTCAGATCTATTAAAAACTCAGAACAGTTAAAAAATCACCAAACTAAGACACATGCCAGTATTTTTAGAGATATCTAGACTAAATAGAAATATGATGTTTAAATATTGATTTTAAGTCTCTTTTGATTATCTTGAATGGGATCCTTCATAAAATGTACAAACTCATGACTTTTTTTTTTAAGCACAAAAATAAATAAGTGAGACAGAGGAGAAGAGAACTGCAGACACTGGTACTGATCAGACTTACGGGTACATGCCATAGTTGGTGGGTCCTTCTCAGCTCTGAAGTAACCTTTCTCACACTGACAGACAGAAGTAGCTTCTACGTAAGTCAAGCTGTGTGGAGGGCACTTGGAACACTTTACATTTCCAGCAAATGCTTTATAGAATCCAGGCCTGCAAGCTGTAAAACAAGAAAATAAGTTTCATCAACAGAAGCAAGATTTGGTAATAAGTAAAATCTGGTCCATGCAGGTATAATGCACCTTCTTTCCTTTCCAGCCTAAATATATACGCTATTTTGATCATAGTATTCTTCACAGTTTTTATTTTGGTATATAGACTTAAAAAAAAAGTAAATCTGTTCTTGGTATAAAACGGGAAATCATTAAAAGAGACAGCTTCCAAATTTACAGACAGTCCTCACTGCTGCTTGAAATTGTTACCTAGACAACTTCACTAATATCACTAAACAAAAGCATATTATCTATGTTTTATGTATGTTCCATCGGTTAATAAGAAAGAGTGAGATAATTTCTTATCACTAAAGCTATTTATAAGGTTTCCTTATATAACTAATGGAGACTTGCAATGCTTAATATGTTTACCCTCACAACACCTCAATGAGACAAGGATGACATCCTGATATATTTAAAGATGCATCTGACTTGCCTACAGTCCCATGAGAAGCCTCTGACAGAAGGCTCAGCCTCTGACAGCTGGGTCCTCTGCACCCTGTTGGCCTGAGAGGCTGGGAGGTGCTGCATAACCACCTTCAGAGATGGAGGAAGGAGATGTGGATACCTTTTAGCGCATATTACTGCAAGCCTGAGGCTACTCTCAATTGTGTCAGGAAACAACTGGGATAGCAGCTGAGCTGGGGATGGAGTATGTTGTGATGGTCAGAGCTCACTGTGCCACCAGTAACTTGGAGCAGGTGTCCTTGCTGTTCTTAGCCACAGCACAATCTCATGTGCCTTTTCACTGGCTTTTAAAGCAGAAACAATTTATAATAAATAAATAATAACAAGATATAATGAACCTTATAATAAATCTGCCAGGTTTGCATTCTGAAATGTTATTCTAAAATTATCCTCAGACTTCATCACACAAGTTTAAAAAGAAATTTCCTTCTTTCTCCTGCCAGCTACCAAATTTACACATGCCAGCATGTATTGCAGTTACTGTCTTCTCGCTTCCCAATATGAAAACAGAACTGAAACAAATGAAAGAGCAAACATGTATACACTGTACAGACTCATATGCCTTCTGACTCCTCAAGCGGTACGATGGAAACCATTGCTATAAAACACCATTTTGAAGATCCATGCGGCTTTTTCTCATTTTGACATACTCAAAACTATTTTCTTTAAAATGCTAGAGAAACTAGGCAGTACTTCCTTCTCTTATAATAAGACAAAATAACAATATTAAAATGAGGTGATCTTTAAAATGTACCCAAAGGTATGCATTTTATGGAATCACTACCAGTTCACATTAAGTGCGTTATTAAAAAGTATTAACTCATAGATAACGCACACAGATTTGCTCCTGATTCCAAAGGACCTGCTTGATATAAAAGCAGTTTTATTAGTAGCTGAGGCAAAAGGAGTGAGAAGATGGGACTGAAAAAGATAATAGATGATTGCCTATCAGAATCCAAGAGCCAATTTTTCAAATTTAATTTTAAGAGCTTAATTTTGTCCCCACAATTTCAGCAGTTCTCCTCCCAGTGTGTTTTTCTGACTTTGCTGAATAGAAATTAGGGAGGAATCCTGCCCTGCTGTCACTGATGGAAAAAAAAAAAAAAAGAAAAAGGTATTTCTGGTGTTAGAGATAAGAGGGGTGGGAACAGCAGGGATTTTCCCCTTGAAAAAAGGCTACTGGTCTGATACAATTGTGATTATAGCGAGTAGTAATTTTCCACTGATTGGAAAGACAGCAGGTTTGGTGCAGGGAAGAAGGCAGCATTGTAGATATAGGCTGTCGGTACTGACTCCTCTTAGCTTTGCTGGAAGGAAGGGAGAGATGAGGTAAGGCAAAATCAGGGAAGAGTGTTACGCTTCCCTGCTCCTTTCTTCTTTTCTCATACCAAAATCCTGCCCTGGCTTATCTAAGGATGAATACTAAATTTTTGCTTTTAATGGCCACCTTTCATACACACGGTGCAATATAAGGAAGTTTATGATTAAAGAGTTGGCAATTCCGTTGGCAATTCCAGGTTACTGTTTCAGTCAAAGCAAAATGAGTTCTCTTTAAAATCCTCATTACTTCTGAATCGTTCCTTCTTCCCTTCTGTCCCCCAAAATGACAAACCACTTCGGATAAAAAGAAACATAGCACTCTTTTTCAAGAGAAATATTTGGTTTAAATTTCAGGCAGTTCACAATTCTAAAATCAAGCTCAAGGAGAAGATTCGTTTCAAATTTGAAAAAGTAAATGTTTTATTCTGAAATGTATTCTGTAATGTATTTACAGCAATTATGGTTTGATATGGTATGCCTCTTAAAAGAAAGCACATATATACTCATGGAAAAGATGGGGGGAAAATATGTATGAATATGTAGATTATTTTAACTCTTTTGAAGCCAATCTAAATACGTTTATCCATTAAGCCAGGTATATACCACAAATTCTGAGGAAGAGGAAGATATCAGAGAAGCTTTTCTATGGATAAGTTTACAAAGCTATTGATAACCCACTCCTCGTCCCAATGCAGAATCACACAACCATGATTACTGGATACTTTCAAATAAAAAACAGCCCTTCATAAACAAGATAAAATAACACAAACTGAAAACCCCCAAATGACCATAACCTTGGGATAACTCAGCTCTCCAGATAACTCAGTGCTGATTGCCAACATTCAAGGTGAAAGACAATAAACTCTTACTCTATCAAAATCAATGACCATGCAGCACAACCCTGAAGCAGTTGAGATGCTGCATGTATCTCAGCTTCGATTCTGCTGAAAAATACTGTGTTTCAGTGGTACAATTAACAACAATTGCTAAATTTACCATTTTCCACAGAAAGTTCGCAAGCACTGGAGTTACTACCTAGGTTTTTAAAAACTCATTTAGGAAATGCCTCAACTACCATTTAAGAGGTCTCCCTCTGAAGACAAGAAGAATCTCTCTGTTCCTCAGACTTAGGTGTCTTCATGGAGCTTAAGGTTGTATAAGACCACTGTAAGCCAACTGTAGCTCACAGCAATTCCAATTAAAACTTACAGGAAAATTGCACAAATGAGTCAATGGTATATACATTCCATTGTAATTTCTGGTTTATGCATAACATTTTGTAAAACTGTGCTATGTTTTTTGTTTGGTTTTTTTTTTATGTTGTGCTACGTTCTGCTGTGAGATTGCAGATTGCACTACTACATGTAAATCACTGTGTATTACTGCAGATCGTGATATCAAACCATACACAAGCATTAAATGTTGCACTCAACTTTAGAGTCCTGAAGTCACGTGCTATCTGAAATAAGGATTAGGATATGACTGTAGAGATGGGCTTACTTACATGCTTAATCTTAACCAAGTTCCTCAGATTTTGCCTAGTTTCCTATATTTCTATTGTTTATTCTCTTGTGGCGGTTCAGCCACACACAAACTGCCTGATGGGCAAACAGAAACTCAGAAACTTTTAATTAGAGTTGTGGTTTTGTATTTGGAGAAGAAAAAGGCCATCTTTCCCATGCAAAATCATACCATATGTAAATATATTACAAGTAAGTTAAAAGTTTGTTCCAGATCTTTATGTATGGAGAAAGTTTTATTTTATATGGATTGATAAATCAGTATTTTTCAAAGTGTTTCTCGTAACATTTTCTTCACTCTGTTAATAGTTATCATATCTATCATCTTCACAAATTATTTGTGCATATGTTAATGTAAACTAAAATTTAAACTAAGAAAAGCTTCTGCCTGAAAAAGCTTCCAATAATGGCTATTCCAAAAAACCTAAAGTTTGTTTTTATCTTTGTTATCAAAGAGTATTTTTTTCTAACTTCCAAATCACTGGGAGGCGTCTTATTTTCCCTAACATTATCTAACTATTGTGAGTTACTAATTATATGAACTGTATGAGATTTGACTTTTGTAAGGCCTGGAGGATGATAATATATTGTCTTAATGGTTCCATAATTAGCAGGGTATCTGAATGAATGAACACCTCAAAGACACTAAAGTTTTCTCCAATGAAATACCAGAGATCTTGCAGAGATGCACTGATAATTTAATTGGCTTCATATAAGGTAACACATCTATAAATGTGCTTTAGTACAGCGTTATTGGGATTTGACTATGATGTTTTTAAACTACAGAAAGGTTGCAATTAATATCATTTTCCTCATTTAATATTTAATATATGGCATTTAGTTTTGTTTGTATTACACATAGATTCATATGAAGAGAAATTAACGCTACACAAAGCTCTCATGAACTCTTAAAGAAAGTGATTCATGGCTTGGTAGCCTCTCAGCCTGGGCAGAGAGTGGGAGAAGGCATTTATCAAGCAGCTGCAAAGCAGTTTAACCCTGTTGATGTTATTTGCAGAGGTATTGAAGCAGACTAGAAAAACTGTAGAAGTGCACTGTACACTTACTGCCTAAAATGAGATACAATCTTAGCTGTTCCACACAGGATGGTATGTGTGTGGTGCAAGATGCTGTGAGAAGCCACCCTTCCCCGTGCATGGCTGCATGGTCAGTCTATGGCTGTTACCATCCCAAAGGTAATGGGATAATGAGTGCATCCCCCTGCTAAGAGTTTTGGCTGTGGGGGTTGAGGGACAGCTCAGAGGCAGTGCAGCCAAGGGTGGCCATGTCCCTCTGGGGCCATAGGGAAAGGCTGCCTTAACAGAGTGGTCATAAGGCCGACCCCTGTCTGGTAGGAGCTGCTTTTGGCTGAGGGCTTGTTGCCCACCCGGGCTACTGCTCCGCTGTGGCACAGCCCTGCCCTGACTGGCCATGGGCCCTGTCAAGCTCTGCCCAACAGCAGACTGACATCCTGGCCCAGCCCAACCCACCACCAAAGGCCCAAGATGGTGGAACATGCCCTGCCTGCCTGACCCTGGGGAACCCCTGTTACTACAGGCCCTCAGGGAAGTGACAGCCATGTGGTACCCCAACAAATTAAACCAAAAGCCGGATATAAATAACAGCAAGTGCAGAGAAAG